GGAACGCAGCAAAGATGACCTGGGATTGTCTCCGAGCATCATTAAGTCCGGCAGCGAATTCAGGCTTGCGAGAGATTGACGTACTGCCAGGTACTCCAAGGTCCACATGGAATGGACGACCAAAGATCACACTTAGCATTCTCATAAGTTCTGGACTGGGGCTACCATCCTCTATGACAAAGAAGGTTGTGTCCCGAAAAGGCGACGCACCGCGCCAAAGAAGCCTATGCCTGATGTTGAAGCATCAAAGGCAAAGGAATCCTACCCTCAATCTTCATCCAGGAAGGAACGTCCCTATACCGGGACTGGGAAGACTAACTCCATTTCGTCTGATGCTTATTTGGGAGCTATGTCGCGAATGGCGCGAAGGATCTACATAAACACTGAGAGGGAGCTTGAGCTAAATATGTCTCCCTCCGACAGCGGACACCAGCCACGTGCCTCTCCACTCCTCATCGAGTTTGCATGTGGCTGACTCCACGCTCTCTGCCACCATGTTTGAAGCTGGCGGCAACGCCATCCGCGTTCACAAGGAGTCTTTCGGCATCCTAAAAAGCAAAAATATAACAGACTTATTGAGATCGTCAAGAGCGTCCTGCGACGTTGCGAGTATCGCGGTAGACTTCCACTCTGGAATGTAGGAACTTGCGGCGAGTGATCCGAATGTCATCGAGGTCAGCTTGAGATGGCCCCCCTGGAGGGAGCGGCTGGGTGTCATCACCAAAGAAGTTCTTTCTGGCCTCAACATGGTAGCGATGCCACGATTTCTCATCGTCAAAGCGCACCCAGTAATCCTTTCCTTCATCTGAGGAGGATCCACTGGCCTCAGGGGAGCCGGAAGGGTCGGTCTCCAAAGCCGTGTTGTGTGCCTTCGCGGGCTTGGGCCGTGGCGACCTTGGCGGACTTTTTGTTTTTTTCCTCCGGCGCAGAGATGCCCTTTGTTCAGATTCAGAACCATACAAGCACGGTGAACTTCTACGTTTTTCTTTTTTTTGATGGCGTGACATTTGTAAAACCTGTAACACCATGCATGTCTTTCACTTGCCGGGCAATTTTTCTGGCCAGGAAATCCGTGTTGCGGCGTGCTTTTGGAGGTCTGGAGGCTCTCCTTCAATCCAGTTGCGCCTGGCTCAGAGTCTGCAATTCGAATCGAAGCTCTTCAAAGGATTGAGCAAGTAGAGGTGCGCCTTCGATCGCTCCGCCGACGTCCTCAGTACGATGGTGATCGGGATGATCATCATCATCATCGTCAGGATCAAATCTTCCCTCGTCAAAATCAAAGGGTTCCCCTTTCTGGGACAGGTTCTTCCCGCCAAGTGGGCCAAAGGCAGTAGCACGATCAGCTTTGTAGGAGGTGATCGGCGTTGTGGTAAATTTGCTTGACCTGGTGAGCGCTGGAAGTGCTCAAGGTTAGCTTTCCTTTTCCCGCCAGGTTCGAGCCTATACCCAAGGAAGACACCAGGTTTTGTAACCGGCACAAACTTTGGTGCCTTACACTGATCCTGTTCTTCGCCAGGGACAGCAGGAGCGATACTCGATTCGTCCTCAATGTAGTCAGAGAGCGGATCGTAGTCTTCCTCGGCAGACATTGGTTCATACTCGTCTTCAGAGAGTGCGATCCCTTCTTTTCAGTTGTCCCCCCATTTTTCAGGGGCGTGTGCATCACCGAAGTCCTCAGCCCCATGTCCTGCAGCACCCTTCTTCCGGTATAACCTGACGTTGGCTCTTTGGCAGTGAGAGCAGAATAGATTCTTCGGAAGATGGGTCATCATATGTTCAGCGCTCCGTAGTCGTCCGCGACCAGCAAGTTTAACGACGTCTCCATCCCGATTGTCAGGCCAGGAGTGTCGGAGTCAGCTGGCTCAACCACATGGTCATCCTGCTCAGCGGCAGGTACCCTGGGAAGCGGCGCAAGGTCAGGTGCTTGTACGTACACTTGGTACAAGAGCATCTCCCATCTTTCAGCAATTCTCGGCAATAACCGGTGAGTCCTCACGGTGGGCAAGCCGGCATTCGGATCCTCTCTTGCGCTGCCCCTTTTGCCAATCGTGGCAAACACCAGGTGCGGCAGGTGGATCACGACTTCGCCGGTCCTTATCTTCCATCTCGACTTCTCCTCCTAGCATCATTGGACTGCGTTTTTCCGCGGTCACGATCACGCGGGCGGTTCTACGAGTGCCGCCAAAGGGCGAAAGACGTTGCACGCCGGGGGCGGCAGCATTTGCTGTCCGTTCAGAGTGTGGAGACCGGGAGTGCGTCTGTTCCTTTATGTCTGAGACGTTGTAGCGTGTCCGCCACCGCGTTCGCGCAGCCTTCATAGTCTAATCTTAGTTTTGCACGCTTGGTGTTGAACGTCCGGAAGCAAGCACGGAGAGTGTCGGAGCTGTTTGAAGATCACATGCTGAAGCACAGGGACCGATCAGAGCAGTAATGCCACCGAGAAGCCCCTTCCACTTGTCAAGATATTTCTCAAGCTGCGGTTCGCCGGATCCAGCAGCTCGGCAAGAGTGAGTCGGACAAGTTCATTTGTGCGAATGGATTGACTCCCGACTTAATCAGGACGAAGATAGTTGATCAGGCAAAAGAGAATCTGGCGACTTTTCAGCCTCGTTCCTCTCTTAACCTGCGCCTCCTCAGTCAATCTGCTGATCTTGGCAACAATAGGCTTCGAAGTGATGCACTTTCTAAGTGCAGAAAGAACCTGTTATCTAGGATAGGGTAGAGACATTTGCCATCGAGGTCATCGATGCAGTTCGCGTATCATGACCCACGACATGGCGCACTGGGAGTCATAGCTGAAGGCGTTTCTGACAATCTCGCAAGTAGCGATGATCCAGTCTAGAAGCTCCTTCGGAAGTTCAATGGTCGCACATTTATTTGGCGGTCGTGTGGCCTGTCCAAAGACGTGCGGAGGGAGAATGCTGTCTCTGTTAATTGATATGGCACAGAGAGAGCAGCTCCCAGATGGCGGAGGGCAGCACGCGGAGCACATGTTGCGCGACTGAAAGGTGGGTGGCACGCCGGCAACGTTGGACTTGACGTTTATATTGCATTGAGGGCAAACTCTCTCTTCTGCAGAGGAGCGCCGCGTCTCGGCCCATGCCATGTCACCGCCAGCTTTGTCGCAAGGGATGTGCGTGCCAAGGACGTGATCAGCTTCACGTCTCTCGGAGCTTCTTTTTGCAGCTCGAGAGTCAACGAGATGATGACCCTTGCTGCTGGGCTTGATGACTGGTCTGAGATAGATGAAGCCGTTGAGCAACTTCAGGAACATAGGATTTTGGCGACAGGAACATAGGGTTTAGGGAGCGTTTGCGCCAAGAACTCCGGGGATGGTCTCGTCGTCCTCAACCTCGCGACAGCGGCGAAGGACCTGACGCGTTGATTGGAATCGGATCAAATGCATACTGATCCTCATCCTGTTCATGATCACCTGAAAGTGCCGCAGACGGATTTGGGCCGCCGGCTCTATGGATTTGGGCCAGCGTCTTTCTATTTGAGCCAGCGTTGCGGCGGCTCGCATCCCGATCTCGAGTGCCTGACAGGAATGCTGATACGGCGTCCGGGGCGATTAAGTCCAAACCAGCTGTGTGCTGACGATCGTCAACTCCGATGGCCGGGATACCTGACATTAGAGGGCGGCCAGCTGTTTGCGGCCAGTCCTCACTCGCTCGGTTGCCTGATTCAAGTTGGCCGGAACCTTCAACATGCGAGCTCACCACCAGGGTCCTCATGATCCCCGATCAGCATCAAAAATGGCGTCGATATCCAAATTCCTAAAAGTGAGAGGCACACCTGGGTTGCTCAATAAATCAAAATGATCCCATGTTGGGACCATGTTTGGGCATCTCCTTGATGAGCGGCAGGATGAGCACCCCGGATCTCTGACTGGACGGCAACGAATTGGATTGTCGGCGAAATGGACAAGAGCTCCTGGTTTTGAGGGACCTCAACCTCTGTGTGAGAGTCCGTCCTCAATCTGCAGCACCGCGGCCGGAATCGGACTCGTCGAAAACAACCTCGGCGTTGGCGATTGGCCTCTGCGGCCATCACCAGGGAAGGTGAAGCCATTGCTCCTGCGTGAAGGCGATGTGGAGTGGGTAGCGGGGCACGACCCGCAACCAGGGCACCAGCCACAGCTAGGAGCTGTTACTATCCAGGAATCAAATGACCTCAAGGTAGTAGGCAAAGAACCCGGTGACACAACTCAGTTGATGACCAGGTTGAAGGATGTGACAGTTGAGAAAGAAGTAGTTGAAGCGAAGGTTGAACAGCAAGCTGCAAAACACAAGACTAGAACACAACCAAGACCAGGAAGACCTCGCACGCCCCACCAGGAACCTCCGAGCCCCCGCGGCCCCAGGTTTTACCCGCGAGGACGAAGTAGCTCGCGCGGACTATGGCTCCTGCGCGTGAGACCGAAACCTTGAGCCAAACGGCCATTCGGCGCGTGTGATGTAAGACAAAACAACACTTGAACTAAACACACCATCCACATTGCGTGTGGTCACTAGGGCGCAAGCAACTTCGCGGGCACATCAGCCATGGCAACAAGCATCCAGCGGGTCTACATTGTATGCCATCCCTAGGGTAACAAATTCTGGCGCCCACACCACAAGCATCCAGCGTGTCTACATTGTATGCCATCACCAAATTGCAAATTCTTGGCTTTCAACCATATAGAACAAGTCCAACAATTCTGTCTACATTGTATGCCATCACTAGGGTACAAATTCGCGGGCCCGCATCAGCCCACATGGTGTCTGATCGGTACAAACTTCTGGGGCTCTACGTTGCGTGTGGTCACTAGGGTGGCCACGTCAGCCAGATAGCAAAAAGTCCAGCAATTCGGGGGCACATCAGCCAGGCAGCGTGGCAACAAGCATCCAGCGTTTCCTTAGTGCAGGTGGCCATGAGTGCAAATTCTGCGCGCTACAGCAGACATAGGAACAAGTATCCAGGGCATGTTGGAGGGGCACGGCCACGAGCGGCAATCTTTTGCAGTCGCAGGCACAAGCTACAAAGCAACCCATCAACGCCTGTGCAGCAATTGCGGCGTCTGGCTGACACAGGGAGGCATCAAGCGCAAAGCCCCGTGGCAGGGTGCTTTTCCAGCACTCGGCGCCGCAAAGCCTCACGGCCTGAGAAGTCTTACAAATCCACGTGCGTGCTGAGTTCGCCCGAATTTTGGCGGGTGAAACAACATGCCCTTCAGGGCTGCAGCTGCAAACGTATCTCTCTTTGGCGCAAGGCTTTTGACATGTCTCGCCAGAGCCGAAGCTTCGGATCACGCAACGCATCCGAGCACCTGGCCAGCCAGAAGCGGCTTCCCAAGATCTGCATGGCTCCAAGTTGGTTGTACGACATCTCGTAGCTGGCGGCGGCGAAGCTGGTGGATTTCACCTCCGGACAGGTGGGGGCCAGCACTGGAAGAACACCATGATTTGAAATGCAAAAACACCGCCTAGAAAATCTCCACAGCCAAGCCACCTCAACGAAAGAGATGTCGGTGGGCGATTCGCCTCTCAAAGCTTGCTCAAAGAGCTGATCGATCTTCTCCTGGCTGACTCGGCCGCCTTCCGTGAGGAAGGAGAAGCTGCCATTTGACCTCACCATCAAGTCAAAGGGCAGACCCCGCTCCAAGCCATCGTTCAGCCAGAGCACTTGGTAGCCTAATTGCGTCAGCGCCCTCTGCGCCAACTGCTCCCCAAACCTGCCAACGGTTGCGGACATCCCAGATCTCGCTTCAGAGGCTCCAGCGCGTGCGGACTCGAGCTCCAAGGCCGGCCTCTCGGGCGTCAAGTCCACGAAGCTCTGTGTCTGAGCAATCGTCGCCGGCTCATAAATGAAAGGCATCGAGAAGGTCTGGGGTTGGGATCGACTCTTCTGGGACTGAGATGGGGATGGCTGCAAGACGGCTCTCTTTACACCTTTCTCGAGAGAAGGAGTCTTATCTTTGTCGCGCGTCTCATACTCGCTGGCAGCGCTAGCGCCGCTTGGTGTCCGCCCAGTGGAAATCCTCTTGGAAGTCTGGCCTTGCTCCCCGTCAAATGCCTCCTTCGCCGCATCGTAGGGCACATAGGGGCCTAAGACCTCAAACTCTGCCAAAGCGTTGGCATGTTGCCGCTCGGCGCCTTTCTGACTGCCCAGTGCGCTCGCGCTGCTCGAGCTCCGCGCCGTGCTCACATCTGGGCGGGTGGAAGGTTTCGCCCGTCTGGCCTTGTCAAGATTGCGGGTCAAGAGATAAGAAGTACATTGATTCTTGACCCCGACACGTTTCAGCAACAATTGGACTGCAAAGTGTGGAGTAAGAATAGCTCCGATGCGCGCAAAGCGCAGGCCTTCTTGTAGTTCAGCGCCTGCTCAGCATTTTGGAGGAGCTCCTCCACTGAGACCTCCGAGACCTCCATGCCCAGGTCAAGCGAAAGCGAGGTCAAGCGCTCCTGACGCCCGAAGCTCCGCAGGCTGCAAACGACGCACAAAGAGTCTTTCTTTAAGGTGGCTCGCCAATGCCCTGCCAGTGATAGTTAGTAAAATCACTGCTAGAGACGTTGGGAATATTATCCGTAAATTGCTTTTGAAGTGTTCTGTTAGACCCGGCTTGACATGCAAGCGATGCGTAATCGCTGCTGGAGATGCTGGGGATGCGTAGTGATGGTTATCATCATCGCTGCTAGGGATGCTGGGGATGCCTAGTGATGCTTATCATCCATCATGATCCTCGTCATGATTCGTCTTCTCAAGTCTTTTCTGTATACATTTCAAATGTCCCGTTCGACCCGTTGACATGCAAGCCATGCCGGCTCTCTGGGTGGACGGGTTCATGCGTCTCCCTTTGTCTCCCTTCATTTGTCGCCAGTTGTCTCCCAGCCTGGATGCCTGGCACGGCTCTCTGGGTGGGAGGGTTCATTTGTTTCCTTTGTCTCCCTTCATTTGTTGTCTCCCACTCTCTGGGTGGGCGGGTTTGTTTGTCTCCCTTTGCCTCCCTTCATGTGTCTCCAAGCGTGGCACGGCTCTCTGGGTGGGCGGGTGCATTTGTCTCCCTTTGTCTCCGTTGTCTCCGAGCCTGGCCTGGCACGGCTCTCTGGGTGGTTGTCTCCCTTTGTCTCCCATCATTTGTCTCGTTCATTTGTCTCCCTGCGTCTCCCTTCATTTGTCTCCCAGCCTGGATGCCTGGCACGGCTCTCTGGGTGGACGTTCATTTGTCTCCCTTTGTCTCCCTTCGTTTGTCTCGCGGTCTGCATGCCTGGCACGGCTTTCTGGGTGGACGAGTTCATTTGTCTCCCTTTGCCTCCTGGATCTCTCTGGGTGGACGGCTTCATTTGTCTCGCTTCGTCTCCCTTCATTTGTCTCCCAAGCTGGATGGACGGGTTCATTTGTCTCCCTTTGTCTCCATTTATCTCCCGTTGTCTCCCAGCCTGGTTGCCTGGCACGGCTCTCTGGGTGGACGGGTTCATTTGTCTCCCTTTGTCTCCCTTCATGTGTCTCCCGTTGTCTGTGCCTGGGTGGACGGGTTCATTTGTCTCCCTTTGTCTCCCTTCATTTGCCCCCCGTTGTCTCCCAGCCTGGATGCCTGGCACGGCGCTAGCCGCACGCAGCTGTGACCGGTTCCCAGTTACGCCTCAATGCAAATTTGCTGCCGCTCTCCTCGCATGCAATTACCATGGAATGACGAACGGGAGACAAAACGGCTGAGGCAAGAAGGCAGGGATGCCTGTACCGAGCATACGGAAGAATTGGGTCGTGTGTTTCTTGCGAAAGCAAATCCTTTACTGAATCGACACGAGGAGCTGCCACAATACGATAGAAGCACTTTAGAGCGTTCTATCGAGCAACAGATTGCTCTCGATACGAAAGACACTGTGCAGCTAGGGAAGAAAGAAGCGCAATGCTAAGATAAAGCATTGTAAATGCTGGAGACGCATCCGACACTGATAGTGTTAGCAGTAGTAGAAGCAGCAGTTGCAGGCTCGCGCGCTAGCAACGTGTTGCAAACCAGACTGACCGCGCACGAACACTATTTCCTTCTTGGAACATGCATTTAAAACACAAGCGTTGTTCAAGGCAGAGCCCAATGGAATAGCGCCTCACAGCCGGCTTCGGGAACTTGATTTATGTGTCGCACAGGGCAGAGAATTTAAACTCCATGTGAACACATTTTTGTTGTCCAGGTAAACGCATGTGTGCTGCACAATTACACATACGTGTGTTACAAGCCAGCACGGAAGTTTGCTCTGGTTAAACATATTTGTGTGATCCAGGTCTGCACCAGTGTTGCGCGTGAACACAAATGCCTGTTGCAAGTGAGCGCCTGCATGGGTTCCAGGTGAACACAATTGTGTGTTGCAGGTGGGCAGAGACGTGTTTTCCAAACATACACACATGTGTGTTCCAGGTGTACGCATGTGTGTGTGTGTGTTCCAGAACACATGTTTGTTATCAGACGAGAACGCGTGTGTGTGTTCCGGGTGTGCATACAGGTGTGTTTGCGTGTACACATATGTGTGTTCCACGTGTGCACGTATCTGTGTTCACGTGTACACATATGCGTGCCCCACGTGTACACATTTGTGTGTTCACGTGTGCACACATGCGCGTTCCAACTGGACACGTGTATGCCAGGAGGCGGATCAACCACGCAGTCGATTGACAGGGTAGTTGAGGTTCGACTCGCGTGGGGTGACCAATACCCTCGACAGCAAGTATAGTAGTGGTCGTGGTAAAAGGGGGTTGTAAGGTAAATGATCTGCGTTGTCTCACGACTCGATGCGACCGCGGAATACGAACCCTTTTGCTTTGCTTCTCAGCAGTGTTTGGATGTTTGCCTCGATTCTATTATCAAGGTCTTGGGCCAAATGCATTCGCATGTACATGTCGGCTGCCCACAGAACACAATCTCCCCAAAAGGTTTGAGACCTTAAGCAAGGGGAAATAACAGGGTGACCCTCAGAACCTGCCCCTAGGATGTTTTCGCCTTGCGGCTCGGAGATTCTTAGCATCCCCCATCCCGGGCTTGGGTTCATCCCTGGGTCGGGAACCAATCACAAATGCATGCCGACACACATGGACTCACAGCTTCATTTTCAATTCAGTGAAACGTCTCTGCACGAGTTTGACCAGGTTCTGTAAACTTAACAGGACTACAGGTCGCATACCGGACCTCATGTGCATTGACGCACACGCGCAGCAAACGATCTATCGGGTAATTGTACAGATCCACGGCAGTCTGCAGAAAACGAATATCCATGACTAGCATAGTCCATCACCATTTTGTAACCAGCAATAATTGTAGCATCGAAAACATTGACCACCAAATACCTGGCATCTCCAGAATAGTAGTCGCCGATGACGATACTGTACGGAAATAAGAAAACATTCTGTGGTGATATACGCAATCCTCGTGCAAATACTTTCGGTTTTGCCCAAGGTACCACGCACGATGGGTCCCACATGGGTTGATCATGATACCATACACGATGAATATCACGATCCCATTGTGTAAAGTGCAAATTCCAGTTGGTTCTCCACGTAGAAGAAATCGTAAAGAAAAATGCTTGATCACCAGTGTGGTGATTCTGCGATGGCCCTTCTACTCGCTCTCCATCGGAACCTTTCTAACAGAGAATGTGGTGTCTCCTCGGTTCGATCAAGCTTCGTGAGAAAGCGTGAGGGCAGATGTACGTTGTGAGAATAGCACCATTGGATAAGAGGAGTGTCTACCTCTTTCACGTTCTGAATGCAAATGATTGCACCAAGCTCAAGTTTCAAGAACTTGCGTCCAATGTGCACATCTGTCCTGTGGAAGGTCATGTAATCGCAGTTGAGGCCAAGGGCGATGCATCGGAATATCGTGTCGCTGATGAACGTGATGTCCTTCAAGTGGCTGACACCTCTGAACTGCCCCGCTTTGATACCAAGTATATTGCAGGCGGTCCAAATCCGATACATGATGTAAAGCCCTGTCAGCTTCAGTGACCAAAAGAACATTTCTTCGTCCCTGTGGCTTGCGCTTTTGAACCTCACAGTCTTGAACTTGGGAGCGGCAGTGACCTCTTCCAAGGTTGGCGGGATTGGAATATTCGCGTCGTCAACTTCTTTGAAGATCCAATCGTCCCTCCCGTTGATCGAGATGTAGGGACAGTATAATCCGCCTTCTTTGCCTGGCTCCTTGACGTCATCTGCTTCGTTGTGGGCGAATACTTTCCATACCTTGAAAAGTACTACTGTACTCCAAGGAATCCAGAGAGGTAGGAGGCCTCGCCGGCTTCGTCGACGCAGATGGCTTTGACTTGCAGGAGATGGATTGCGTCCGCATCCTCCTCTGGGTTGTCCGGACAAACTCCCGCATCTTCATCGCCGATGTCCGTCCCGATGTCCGACGGGATGTACGATCTGCCTGCAGACCGTTCTTCACTCATCTCGTGGGTGTCGGGTTGTTCTTCATCGACATTGATTCGCTCAGCATCCTCCTTTGCTTCTCGCTGAGCTTGTTTCACTTCTTCCGTCACATTGGTGGTGTCGGACGGTTTGGCCTTGTCGTCAACATTGATTACGAACTTGCCGGTGGAAATGAACTCGCATTGGCATGCCGTGCAATAGCAAAATCCCCTCGGAACAATGATAGCGCACGCTGGGCACACCCTGTTGAAAATGCATGATGGATCGTCCTCGCGGTAGACAACGAATCTGCTAAGCAAATCTCGGATCTCTACCAACGATTTGTCCAAAGCTTCGGGTACTCCGATCTGAAGGCAGGCATCGACGACCATCTTTTTCAGGATCATAGCATCCGCTGAGTCTTCATCGTCCAGGATATTGTTGAGGTTTGCAAGGAAGTCCACCGGGGCAGATCTCGCTCTCAACAGAGCGGGAATAGATCCGTTTGACTTCCTTCACCGGTCCTCTCTTCATGGACTTGAATCTCCAGATTGCCCTTATTTCTCTGAAAAAAATGGTCTCGAAGGCAACGATCGTTCCTCCCGATGTCACTCCTGATCTGTACGCGGACAATTTGCTTGTTGGCACATAGATGGCGATGAGGTCATCTCCTTCCTTGATATCGTTCATTGCAGTCTTGGTCGAGATGTTCTCGTTGTCCCAAGGTGCAAATACTCCGAAGTGTACTGCCAACCTCCGTGCACTGTCATTGCCGCCAGGAACGATACCCCTCAAAATGATACCTTCCAGGGCTGTAGGTTTTGTTTTGTCACGTGAAAAGCTCCGCCCAAGCGATCGGACATGCTCGGGAACAACATGTTGCAAAGTTCAGCAGGACGAGCGAATCCGAAATCCGAATGCCCTGATGACGCACGAATGCACCATGGTTGCCACCATCCGCCATGCTCGCGACGAATCCAGTCAACGTCTCTCTTTGTCCATCCAGCTGCTATGAGACCCGCCATTGTCTCAATGTCGATCTCCTGATCAAACCTCGCAGCAAGGA